GGAGAGAGTCATGTGCCAATCAAGGGGTGGAACCAATATTCTTAAGAATCTGGGGAACTGAACTGGGTGCAAAATACTTCCATAACTGGCAAAAGTATTGAGTGCAGGGAAATGCACACGAAAGCAGAGATGTAGTACTTTGCACTTTCACTGAACCTTTCATTCAAGGATCTTAAAACACCGAGAGTGGATTTTTAGCCCTTAACTTGAAAACTCTTATACACATGAGTAACTTTACCCAGGTGAGTCAACACAATAGGGCTAATGAGACTATTCATGTACATAAAAAATACTACAGGGCATTATGTTATGACCACCCATAACTTCCCCACTGTGAAAATTAAACTGATAAAAACGCTTTAAAATAAACCTTGATATTATCTGTCAAAAATATATAAACATAAAATTTGCATACTGTCAAGTCTACTCATATTTTGCAGAAAAAAATCTGTCAGAAATTTTTGAGTTTTAAAAATGTTGCAAGCACTATTTTTCCATATTCCTCTGCCAGTAAATCAAGGATGCCTTAGGCCCACAAATCAACTGCTCAGACAGAGGGAAAAATTACTACTTGTACCTTCTGGAAACTTTTATATGGGATCAAAAATAGCTTTTCTATACATAAGAATGTTGCAATGCTAATGTTTCGTATCATCCAGTTTAAGACTAGATATAAGTTCTACAGATTCCCACTGGTAAGACCAGTCACTTCTAACTCTGAAAATTCATGAGAAATTGGACTCTAATCCTGTCATTGGCCCAGAACTGAATATTACCTATCCTGAACTTCAGACTTGTGTAACTTTGTGGGAAAACTCCACAGTTAGGGGCAGCAGGAGGAAAGCTTGTTTGTTTTAAAGCAGGAATGTTTGTTTTTTAAATGGTGGCTATATGAAAGATGCACCCATGTTTGGAATATCAGTCTTGATAGATGGACTAGTTAGTAGTCAGATAGCAGGTGTGGTCAGAGGTGCATGAAAAATGGAATTTAATTACATGACACTACCACAATATGAAATATTGAAAACCAAAACATTATTTGAGGATCAAGAAACCTGGAGATTTCTAGGTAGGGAAGGAGTGAGGCTATCAAAAGGAGAAAAGAGGGGAAAAAAGTAGGAAGAGAAGTAGAGATGATAGCATGATAGAAAGGTAGGGCTTGAACTGTGTTAAATTATTTTTAAATCAGGCTAGCTTTCAGGAGCAGTCTAACAACACTTTTGCCCATTTTTTGTTTTCTTTAACATGTGAATATTATGTTTTTGTTATAAATGGAATGCTTGTTTACTCATTAAACATTTCCAGGGCTAATAACACCTCCAAGATGAGTTTATTTAACAATATCTTCCTACCACTTATTTACAGCACTTTCCGTCAGTGTATCTCAAAGCACTTTTCAAAGAAGGTAAGTATCGTACCCCCATTTTATAGATACAGAATCTGAGGCACAGAGGAATAGCTAGGTTGTTTTCAGTGGTGGCAGATGACAGAACAAGGAGCTATGGTCTCAAATTGCAGTGGGGCAGGTCTAACTAGGTTGGATATTAGGAAAAACTATTTCACTAGGAGGGTGATGAAGCACTGGAATGGGTTAACTAGGGAGGTGGTGGAATCTCCATCCTTAGAGGTTTTTAAGGCCCGGCTTGACAAAGCCCTGGCTGGGATGATTCAGTTGCAGTTGGTCCTGGTTTGAGCAGGAGATTAGACTAGATGACCTCCTAAAGTCTCTTTCAATCCTAATCTTCTATGATTTGCCCTAAATCATGCAGCAGGCCAGTGGCAGAGCTGGAAAAAGAATCCAAATCTTCTGAGTCCCATCCAGCCCAGTGCTCTGTCTACTAACTAGAGCATGCCTAATTGCAAACACTTTGACTTCTGCATTTATTCAGCCCAGGAGATAGTTTATTACAACAGGGACAACAACTAATGTCTATTTGTTTAATTTTATATTTAAATGCACACATGCTTACATGTTTGCAAAGATAAAGAAAACACCCCCATGAATGCAGAGCATTTGGAGTGACATTTTTTTCCTCTGTAGGTATTCACACAATAAACTGTGTTTGGGCTAAAGTCCCTGGAACACGAAAAGGGCTGGAACTGGAAGGGTCTACAGCCGTTCGGGGCAGGGGAATCAAAGAAAGTGAAATGACTACAGCAGAAAGCCAATGCTTTTCAGCAATGTGTCCTTTTTTTGAGGGCTGTTAAGTTCTGTGACTGAAGGGGTTGTGTTTTCAGAAGAAAGAAGGCTAAAACAAAGAAGTGCTTAAAATATCCATTCATACCTGGAGTCACTATTTGGGGGAAAAATCCATCTGGCATAAGCCTTGCTAGGGGTGGGAAAATGCCCCACTTAACATGTCCATCCTCCCTCCCTAACCTGATTCTACTCATTATGGACTTTTAGTAGCAGGTAATTATATTGTACATGTAGTGTTCACTCCACATAGCAATTGTACACAACTAACAAACTGCAATGTACTACTCATATTAAATTCTACACTGCAGTGAACCAAGTTATTGTTCATTTCACTTGATTATAGAAGTTGCATTGCTTTAAATCTACAAATTCGGGAGATTGCCTTCAATATTGTTCATCTGCACAGGAGCAAGATGGAGCATTCTCATTGGCAAGCAGTATTTTAACTGCATAATTTTAGTTTATGATTGAATGAGATAGCTTGCTGAAAAACACCGTGCAGTATACATGTCTTCCCAGAAACAACTTTTTCCCCCCTTCTTGAGCACGTAGGCAGCAACACAGTTGTAAAATTCAAGTAGATCTTCATTTTCCAAACTGCCCCGTATGGATTTGTGGTGCTTTTCAGAGATAACACACAGCCTCTACTCCAAAGACTGTACAATCTAAGGCCCTGGTCCTGCATAGGGATCTTCTTCAGGAAGTGCTTCATTAGGACTTCATGTAGGTACAAGACTCTGCATTGGCAGATCTCAATGCAGGATTGGGGTCTAAAGGCCCAATTCTACAAGTCTTTCTTGTGTAGTAGTCCTACCAAAATCAAGGGCTTGCAGATCAGGTCAAACAGAGGAGGAAGGATCAGAGGGGAAAGTTAAAAAGTGATTAGGAAATAAGGATACTTGTTGGTTGCAGTCTACATTTATTACATTTTTAATATCACATTTAAAAGCTGCATCTGATTTTTCATATTACTTGTTTTGATATATTTCATCTTGTTTCATTAAGGCTCTTTGATCACTTGAACTCTGTTTCATGTTTGAAGTTTTGCATATCTGATTAACTTGGCACAAGTATACTAGGCAGCCTAGTTGGTTGGTGGGGGTGGTTGTTATTTGTACTTAGGTGGAGTAGAATGGAGGGGGTGTCATTATTTTTAGATTTAGCCTAGGTCAACAGAAAGGATTAAAAGGAAACAACCATCATAATCATGCAGTAATTCTTACCCATTACAAACCACAGAATATGAAATGAAATGTTTTGAAATCCATTTGCTGTCACTTTACTGGTGGACAATGACAATCAAATCAATTTCACTTTTGTTTAATCAGTTTCATTTTAATGTTTTCAGTACTGGAAACTTAGTTTTAAAACAATTTTACAGTGGAATTTCTGAATAAGTTGTTGAGTCATTTTCATAAGCTTTTATGTTTAAAAGGAACTCATTCTTACAAACTGGAAACTTTGAACCAAATTTAAATTGACACTGTTTACTCTGTGATTGAAATAGACTACAGGGTTTTCCCAAAATCCTCCTTGAGAATTTAAATGCAGTCATTACTGTACTACCTGCCCGAAAGTTAAAAAACAAACAACAACACACTCCAATTTCTAACACTGTACAATTACCTAAATAATAGCAAGGATAGGAGAGTAGTCAGGTCACTGTCTACTGGTGTTATTGATTGCTGTTGCCTGGACCTGCTCTGAGCAGAGCAGCTAGCCAGCAGTCAGTCTACACTGATGACAGTGAGACACTTCATGAGGTAGGGGTGGAACAGTCTAGGAGATACAGCCTATTTGTTTTCCTTTAAATGGACAACAGCTAGTAAGTAGCCGTTTATTTTGCAGTTTGCTAGGGGTTCTTCACTTTTTATCCTAAACCGTTTGATTTTACACAAGTATAGGATTTCTCCTTCAGCAGCCAGCTGCATGGCAGTGACAGGGTAAAAGTAATTAACCGAGCTTGTAAAGTACAGTCCTGTAGATTTACTATAGTCTCCCCCTCTTATCTTACTTGTTGCACAGATCCCAAAGCACCCTCCTCCTGCTAAGGTGCATGTCTTCCGGTTAACACTTGTCTGTTGTTTTGGCCAGGGCGAGTCATCCGGTTTAAAACACAGGGATGCGTTACACTAAAACCGTATCGCCGCAAGTGCTTTTTCTTCACTATAAATCAGATGTAACTTCGCCAGAAAGCGCCAGACACTGAGCAGGAGGATCGCTTGGGAGAGCGCTACTCGACCCCAGCACTAGGAATAATAAAAAGGGAAGGGCCCACAGTCGCCTGCCAGCTGTGCCGAGCCAGGAGCTTGCGGACGAGAGGTGCGAGCTCTCGGGCCCTCTAGAAGAACAAGCTGGAACCACGGTTGGCTCCGCCCGCCGGTGCGGCCCGGTTTCCAGGGGCGCGGCGGGAGCACTGAGCGAGCGCCCCGCCGCAGGCCCACGGGGGTGACTCACCCCGGCTCAGCCCTGGGGCGTGTTCCCCGGGGCGCTTGCAGCTCCGCCACGGCTCGTCACAGAGACCGGGAGGGAAGCGGGGTCACGAGCATAGCAACCGTCCTCGTACGTCGTTTCCGCTCCGCAGGGGCAAAAGAAAGGACCTGGAGAGAGTGACAGCTTCCTCCCTAGTCGCTGTCGACTCGGGTCTTCCGCAAGAAGCAGGGATAGGCTGGGAGGGCTAGGGGGCGTGCCCTGCTGCCCAGCGATAGGCTGTTTATGGTAAAGGGCAGGGCCTCGGTGCCAGACGCTCTCCAGTAGGCTGTCCGGGTTGAAGGGGCGTGTCCCCAGTGCTAGGCGCGGTATGATAGGCTGCTTAGCGTGAGAGGGTGAGTCCCGGCGGCAGCAGCCTCCAGGGGCTGAGGTCCGTCTCGGCGGTAGCGGCGGAAGTCTCGCGAGGGAGCGTAGCCGGGATTTGGCGGCTGGCTGCCTCCCTCTCGCTGGCTGCGAGGAGCTGCCTGGTGTTTGTGTGGAAGGGGGAGGAGGAGAAGGAAGGGAAGCGAGAGGAGCCCGAGCCCCTTCGCCTGCCCGCTGAGGGGAGCGGACCGGACCCTCCGCCCGCTCGTCCCCTCCCTCGCCCCACCATGGCCTCGGGAGACACCCTCTACATCGCCACGGACGGCTCGGAGATGCCGGCCGAGATCGTGGAGCTGCACGAGATCGAGGTGGAGACCATCCCAGTGGAGACCATCGAGACGACCGTGGTGGGCGGCGAGGAGGACGAGGACGAGGAGGATGAGGATGAATGCTGCGAGGAGTGCGGCCCGCACCACCCGCCCCATCACTATCACCACCACCACCAGCCCATGATCGCGCTGCAGCCGCTCGTCTCGGACGGAGACCCCAGCGGAGCGGGTGGCGGCGCGGGTGGCGGCGGCGGGGGTCAGCTCCACCTGCACCATCACCAGGAGGTGATCCTGGTGCAGACCCGTGAGGAGGTGGTGGGGGGAGACGACTCGGACGGGCTGCGAGCCGACGACGGTTTCGAGGACCAGATCCTCATCCCGGTGCCGGCCCCCGCCGGGGAGGACGAGTATATCGAGCAGACCCTGGTCACCGTGGCCGCCGCCGGCAGCAAGAGCGGTGGGGGCGGCGGCTCGTCCTCGGCCGGAGGCCGCGTCAAGAAGGGCGGCAGCGGAAAGAAAAGCAGCAAGAAGAGTTACCTGAGCGGGGGAGGCGGCGGTGGGGCCGAAGGCGGCGGAGGCAGGAAATGGGAGCAGAAGCAGGTGCAGATCAAGACCCTGGAGGGGGAGTTCTCAGTCACCATGTGGGCCTCGGGTAAGTGCGCGCCGGGCCCCTCCCTCCCCGGGCCCTAGGCCCCGCCGGGCGCCCATCAGCTCTGCCAGGCCGGTTTTGTTTTGAAGGGAGGCCATGTTTTGATGTGTGTGATGGGCGCCGCCATGTTCATCGCCAGGGCAAGTATGGCGGCTCCCCCGAAAAGATGGCGGGGTCTGCGCTGCTGCTGCTCCTGCTCCTGCCCGGCTCCGGCGGGGGGAAGGAAAGATGGCGGCGGCCGCCAAGATGGCGGCGGGGGGGGAGGGGGAGCGAGAGGGAGGCAGCGCGCTGCTGGCTTCTGGACTAGGCCGCAATGGCGTAGTTTCTGCAGCAGGGGGAGGCGGGGTGTGCGGGCGGGCACGGTGCGGGGTGAACCCAGCCTCCTTTCCTCGCCCCCATTGGCTCCATCTCCCCCCCCCCCACGCTTCTCTTTCTCCCCGGCTCTCTCTTCCCTGCCATCGGCTCTCTCCCTTTCCTGCTCCCACTTCTCCGCGTCGGCTCTCCGCCTCGTCTCCCTCGCAGCCGCCTCCACCAGCGCCCCTTCCGCGCCCCGTCTCGCTCTGCCTGCCGGTTCCCTCCTTTCCCTCCCTTCTGTCCGCCGCACACCCGGGGCCCCATTGGGCTGCATTTTAATGCTGAACATGGGCCGCAGCCCCGGATGACGCGTGTACTTCAGCCCGTGACCGTTATATGAGGGGGGCGGAGGAGAATAAATGGCTGCCTGAGCGCCGCCCGCCTCAGCGCTCACGCTGCAAGTTGGTCGTTAGGGCAGTGGGAGGGTTACGGGCGCTGCCTGCCGAGGGGTGGGTGCTTGTGCCTCATTGGGGCACTTGTGACTTCCCTGGTTCCAAGTGAGCCCAGTGGGCGAGCCCGCTCTGGTGTGCTTCTACACTGGGGACTCAAGCCCTTTGCAAGAGGGGCTGGGTGTGGGTGGCTACTTTGCCTGACATGGGGTGGAGGCTAAGAGAGGAAAACACCTTTCTTATGACTGTGTGTGTGCGCGCACTCTTCTCTATCTAGAGGGTGATCAGATACCAAAATGATAGGGGCCTTAGAAATAACCAAGATAGGAGCGTGGATCTCTTGTCAGCAGCTCTGGAGGAAGGGGGTGGATCTTATGTCAGAGAAGCCTTGGTCCTTGGCAGCATCTTGGAGGGTGGGGGAGGGTTTGCCTGTGGATCCTGTCTTGCGCTTGGAAATGTTTCAGCTCTGCCTTTTCCCATTTGATAATAACCGTGTCAGATGCTCTTTCAGTTCGTCTGTTTTAGGGGCGGGGAATTTACACCTGTCAAAGAAATTCTTAGAAAATGTAAAATCCAGTGTAATACAACATTTTAACCTTTTGTGATAGGGATGGTGGACGGTTGTGCTTGCAGGGTTAGGAATCAACCTGATTTTGTTTCTGGATTTGCGAATGTGTTTTATTCCAGGTATGGTTTTCTCTCTCTTACTTTTGAAGTGTTTTGTAGATTTCTGGAAGAGCTAGGCAACAAGCAGTGCAGAATTGTTACTTGCTGTGTCTTCTCTGTAAGAATCACATTAACACCTGCCCTCCAGCAAAATATATTAGTAGATCAGTTGTTCGCTGAAACTGTGTGAATGTGTGTACGCTGTTCATGGAGAGCTGGCTGTTATGAGTCTTGAGGAAGAGGTTGGAATTCCATCTTCCACTGCTAACTACTACTATTACCTCGAGTGTCATAACTTTGAAAAAAAATTTATACTCTGAATTTTAACTCATAGAATGCAATAGTGGTCAAGCAGGTAGAAGAGACAATGTGCACAAAAAATACAGTTTAGAGCATCTGCCACTGTAAGCTGTAAACTAAGCTGTGTAGTGTTGCCATAGCCTGTGTCTAGTTGTGGTCAGTTGAAGGTACTGTTAAGATAGCTGAAAACAAATGACCAGGGGACAACTGAATAAACAGGCTACAGGAGATTGCCAAAATCCGTTAGCAAGTGCTAGTGTGCATTTGAATTCTGCACTTCAAAGTGTCTAAGCTTTTAGCAAGCACCATACTGTTATACATACAGATTAGTACTTCATTTAAAAGAAGTAAAATAGATGTAATGAATGAGCCTGATATCCTAATATAAAACTGGTATAAATGAGAGAAACCCCATTGATATCAGTGGACTCTGTTCCTTATACTAATGAGAGGAGAATTTGTCCATGTTTGTAATAGTTTATCAGAGATTTTTGAATTATACTGGCACAACTGACTGCTCCACATATTTAGATTGTAATCCAATGGTGTGGGGTTGCTTATTTTTAATTCTTATAGTAATAGTCTTTTGCTAGAAATCAGGGCTACTTTCTTTGTTAGGGCTGGTCTACACCAGGAATTTACTGGCAGAGCTGCATCTCTCGGGTGTGGTATGAGTCTTGGGTATGAAAAATCCACACCCTTGAGAGAGACATAGCTATGCTGACTCTACCCCTGTTCTAGACGGTGCTTGGCCAGTGGAAGAATTCTTCCGTCCACCTAGCTTCTCTCATGGAGGTGTATTACACAGATGGGAGAGCCCCTCCTGTCAGTGTAGACATTACCTATGCTGAAGTGCTACAATAGCACACTTAGGGCTTGGCTACACTTACATTTTATAGCGCTCTAACTTGCTGGCTCAGGGGTGTGAAAAATCACAACTCCACAAGCAGCATACCCAAAAACTCCACCTCCCTCAACAGGGGAGAAGCTTGTTAGTAGTATACTGTTATCACAGAAGATAATAAAATAGGACTTTTGACATCACATATTTCAACTAAACAAGGCTTAAATTAGTGGCTTTTAAATGTTTTGCACCATTGAGCCAACTGTGCAAACTGTATGGCATGAACAAGTCCTTAATTACCTGGTAAGACTTCATGTCTGACTTAGAAATTTAGTAAAAAGCTCATCAAAGAGAGAAAAATAAACAAGTGGCATGTCAAGATATGGATTCTGTGTGGCTTGCCTCTGGGTGTTTCAACGAGGAACAAGGGCACTTTGCCTTCAAACACTGTCAAGCAGTGGTCTCCAACCTTTTTATGCATAAGATCACATTTTGAATTTAAGTGAAACCTAGGATCTACCTTTCCCCAAGGTTGTGTGCCCCCCCCCCCATCTCCAGTTGCTTGCTCTCCCCCACCCTTAACTCACTTTCACAGGGTTGGGGTTTGGGAGGGCGTGCGGGCTCTGGCCTGGGGCTGAGGGGTTCAGGGTGTGGGAGAGGACTCTGGGCTGAGCCTGTGGAGGGGGTGATGGGTGCAAGCTCTGGGAGGAAGTTTTGGTGCAGGAGGGGGCTCCAGGCTGGGGCAGAGTGTTGGGGTGTGGGGTGCAGGCTCAGGGAGGGGGATCAGGGCAGGAGATGAGGAGTGCAGGAGGGGGTACGGGCTCTGGGAGGGAGTTTGGATGCAGGAGGGTGTTCTGGGCTGGGGCAGAGTGTTGGGGTGCAGGAGGAAGTATGGGGTGCTGGCTCTGGGAGTGAGCTCAGAGCTGGGGCAGCGATTTGGGGTGCAGGACTGCATATGGGGTGTTGGCTCCAGGAGGGGGCTGGGGGTTGGGATGCAGGCTCCTGTCAGGGGGAACTTACCTCTGGTGGCTCCTAGTTGGTGGGGCTAAGGCAGGCTCCCGGCCCCACAAGGCTCCCAGAAGCGGTCAACATGCCCCTGGAGTGGGGCACATGGCTCCGCGTGCTGCCTCTCTGCCGGCACTGCTCCCATTGGCTACAGTTCCCCATTCCCAGCCAATGGGAGCTGCAGGGGCGGTGCTTGCAGGCAAGAGCAGCGTGCAGAGACCCTTGCACCTTCTTTTTTTTTTTTTTTTTCCCCCTCTGCCCCACTGAGGCCGCGAGGGCATGTTGACTGCTTCTGGGAGTGGTGTGGGGCCAGGGAAGGCAGGGAGCCTGCCTTCGCAGCAGCCCCGTTACACCACTGGACTTTTAGCGGCCGGAGATTGCAATCAACTGGAAGAGTCTCCAGGATCAACCGGTTGGTTACCACTGCTACTGAGCAATATAAATTAACAGATCCATGCCATTTTCCAATGCTATTAAAGTGATTGATAAACCAGTATTGGTAAATTTAGGGCTCAGATCTTTCTTTCAAATGAGCGTTACCATACATCTTCTAAAATCATGCATATATAGTAATCTATTAGATGTGAGCCTGTGTACCTTAAAAGGTGAGTATTTAGTGTTGTATGGTTGTCCGGTTGTCCGTTGCAGCACTGTTGTTGGTAACCATTTAGGCTTTCCATAAAAGTGCTCTTATGTCTCCTTCTGTATTCTGCCATATCAGAACTTGACAAACACAAGGTTGGTTTTAAATAAAATATTAGTTTGAAAACAGTAATGCTTTATGGCAGTTCTTCAAGCTAACTTCAGCTTTGCATCTGGAAAGCTTTCTGACTTACTTCCTTTCATATATGTGGAAGTACAAGGAACAGTGATCTCTGATCTGTTAAATATTTCTTCAGATATTTGAAAATTATTATAAACTCTTCAAGCGTATTCTTACACCAGATGTTCCCAAACTTGGTTTGTGACTTGTTCAGGGTAAGCCCCTGGCAGGCCGCAAGACGCTTTGTTTACCTGAGCGTCCGCAGGTACAGCCGCTTGCGGCTCCCAGGGGCTGTGGTTTGCCGTTCCTGGCCAGTGTTTGGGAACCCCTGTCCTACACTGAGTAGCCTCTCTGTACTGTCCATAGTTTATCTCCAATGTATGCATTGGGTGCCATTCATGATCGGAGAAAATCGTGTGTGGAATGAATGGTGCTGTTTGCTCCAGTGAGGAAAAGGCCCTGATTCTCTTTTATAAACTGGGAAAATTCTGGGATTTTTGTGGCACAAGAATGCACACTTGTTTTTTTATAACTTTTAAATATAATCTGTAATTTAAAGTAATGCATTGCTATTTAGCTTTTTAACTGATACTTCAAAATCTGTAACTTACTAGATCTGTTGCTTTTTGTTATACCTGTTTTCTGTTCCTGGCTTCAGACCCCACTGTTGTTAAAATATATA